TCACAAGTTTATTTTTATTTGTCAACATCAGAAGGATTTCAAGACTGGCCATTTAATAGACTCTCACTGACAACTGATGGAGAGACGGGTGATTCAGGATGGGAACTCCCTGGGAAAGGAAAATGTTCTGCTGTGGGGATTGATGGAAAAATGAGGAAGGAAAATGCTGGCACAGAAATGGAGGCCAAATAAGTCAAAGACCCAAGATGTCTCCGTGGTGATGGAGAAGAATGGCTTTGCGGCTTTGTGGAGGCCATCCAGTTTCCATCCAGGGAAAGGACAGCCATCCTCTTTAAGAAAGGTGAAATAACTGTGTTAGTCAGTCTCCTGTTCTTATACTAAAAACCTGAGATAAGCAACTTAAAAAGGGAAGGTTTTGTTTGGCTTACAGTTTTAGGAGTTTCAACCCATGGTCAGTTGACCCATTGCTTTTGGGCCTATTATGGGGCACCATATCATGGTGGCAGAATATGGAGATGTAAACAGTTCACTCCATGGTAGCCAGGAAGTGAAAAGAGAGAAGGAAGAGGAGACTGGGATCCCGATATATCTTTTGAGGGTACACCCCCAATGACTTAATTTTACTCCCCCAGTACCTACGTTCTAGAGATTCTACAACCTCTCAATTAGCACCATAGGTTGGGATCAAGCCAACACAGGCCTTTGGAGGACATTCAAGATCCAAACTGAGCCAGGCACAGTGGTGCACACCTGATCCTCCTTCATATTATTCTCAACTTCATTCTAGTTACTCTCTGATATTTCCCAGTTCTGGTAACATTACCTTGGTATGCCAGGAGCATGCAAATTTATTTTTAACATTTGTGTACATGCTTGGTAAAATATTATTAAAACTAAAATTTAAATACTTCATCCATCCATTAAATAAAAAAGAAAAGGATGAATTATATAACATTTAGAATGAAATTAAATTGACTTAATAGCAACAATTGAGCTTACCAGATTAAAAATATAAGATGTTGGAAGTGGGGTGCTGGATAAGAATGAGTTGTGATCAGCACAAGAATTGCTTTGCATTTTTTCTAAAGGATTTGGCAAAGTTGGATTGCAGTGGGAATAGTCTTTGAAATCTTTGCCACACTCTTGTCATGCTTAGCAAGCACAAACTATTCCCACCTTAGACTTTAGAAGAGTTTCTGAGCTCTAAGGAGATGTGTCTTCATTCTAGAAAGAAGAAGGGTATAGAGGAGAGGGGGTGGGCAGAGGATGGTGAATGGGCAGGGGTGAAGTTTGACAGAAGAAATAACTTCTAATATTCTGTAGCACAGTAGCATACCTATAGCTGACAACAATTAATTGACTAGTTCAGAATAACTAATAAATAGGATTTTGAATGTTCCTGACATTAGAAAAAATGATTTATGACTGAGGTAAGTTGCCAGTTACCCTGATCTGATCATTATTCATTGTCTACGTGTATTGAAATGTCACACTACACCCCATAAATATATACAATTATTGTGTCAATTAAGAATATATATTATGCCTAGCAGGCATGAGGCCCTGGATTTGATTTCTAGCACTGAAAACAAATAACAAAATATCTATATGTAAATATCAAGTCTCTGTGGACTCAAATTAACAGTTATGGATGAATAAATTGTTCCATTGGTTATCCTTTCCATACTTCTTGTCAGAATTGTCAGGATCCCAAAGGTCTGGCTCGTTTTTAGCTTATCTGAGCAGGCTGTTCTGATCTGTCAGCTATAATTGTTCCTCTTACCTATTCATTTTGCTGAAGGTTCCCCCAGCTGCACAGCCCACAAACCTCCTCCTGTTTCCCAGCTGTCACCACTGGGCCTGGTATTTCCTAAATGTCCAGTGGTTGATCTCTCCCACTTCATTCTGAGTTTGGCTAGTCATTAAATAGCCACTGATCTAGATTAGCTACACTGGGGCCAGGGAGACTCTTTCTCCCTTTAAGAATATTGCATGAACTGATGAGTTCCTGCTAGATGATTTTTTCAACATATTGATAAGCTTTACATGAATAAACTAAACAATAACTTGTCGGTAGATACTTTGCTAACTTTATTAGATAGTTCCCCAAATTTGGAGTATATAGTCACTATTTTTTCCTCTAACATGTTAAGTTTTACCTTTTTGACAACAGAAAGTTTAACACATGAGAGGTGCTTTCTGGGTTTTGTTTCTTATTATTTCTTTCAAGTAGTTAAAAAAATGTCAAATAATGAGTGATAGGTAGAAAAAATATTTGCATTGATTCTTTTTTTTTTTTTGTACTTGGAATTGAACCCAGGGGTGCTTTACGATCAAGCTACATCCCAAGCCCCTTTTTTATTTCTTATTTTGAGACAGGGTCTCACTATGTTGCTGAGGCTGGCCTCGAACTTGCAATTCTCTTGTCTCAGGCTCTGGAGCTGCTGAGATTACAAGCAAGCGCCACTGTGACCAGCTTTGTAATGAGTTTTGAAAGAGATAGATTCCAGATCTAAAGAAATATAACATTATGATGAATCATGTGCTGTGAAAAGTTCTGAGGAATATGATGACTACATATCTTTGCCTCCAGGGGCTTTAAGTGCATACAACTGTCTCTCCATGTGATCCCTCCACTGGGTTCTGATGCAGTAGGAGTCTGCTTCCAGATACTGAGCAGGTGCAGGTGCCATGCTCTTGGACTTCCCAGCTTCCAGAACCAACCATATGTTGGACATTATCCATAACTTTGGATTTTGCTTATAAAGTCCATCATGAAAAAAATACAAATTAATTTCTTATAGTTAGATGATGTTATAAACTTGCATGATCTACCACTTGCATTAGTGAATGGACCACAAGCCAGAGGCACAAGTGAAATCTCATTCTCTACTTATGTCACATGGTGGTATTGTCAGGCAGCCCTCCTCATCTTTCTCTCCATCACCCTAACAGAGAAGCAGGAGAAATGTTTTTAGGGACTAAAAATATAAGTGGCTTTCATTTTTTTCCACCCTCAGTTTGTTAGGCAGATTCCGACACAGCTAACTGCAAGAAAACCTAGTGATTATCTTACAGCATTCTGGGAAAGAGGAACTAAGGTGGTGTTAGAGAGAAAATTATCCATAAGACTTGTTAAAATTGCAACACAGACTTTATTCAGGACTATCATGAAGGTATAGGAAATATGCAATGGAGTGTCACAGTAGTGGAAAGAGATTGGATTCACCCTTGAATACAACAAGGAAAAGTAGGACTTTGGTCATTGGATGGATAAGGAAACACGAGAGGTCAGGAGAGATTCTGGCTAATCCACCTTATGTGATTCCTGCTGCAGACAAGCCAGGGTAATCAGACATCAGCTGGTGGTTGTGGGTGATGAGGAAATTGCTCAGATATTGAGTGCAAACAGATATTGAAACAGGAGACTATGGCTAAAGTCTGTTTTAACAGAATTCTTGCTAAGTCTAGACTTACAGGACAGGCCTAAGGGTGGGGACTCATTGAAAAAGTGTTCAGAGGTGCTGACAAGCATTTGGGTATGGGGAGAATCTTCATTGGTATGAGTGCTTAGCATTGTTCCTGCTAAGTAGGCAGAGATCCTTTTTCTCCAAATCTGTCCTAGTATGTTTCAACATTGAAAATGAATGACAATATTTTTTACAACCACGGGAAATGAAATGTTTCATAATCACAATCATATTTCTTCTCAAAGAGAGCTATTTGCTTTTTTTATTGAATCCATTATGTCATGGAAATGTTATACATGGATGTACTCTATCCGTGGCTAATACTGTTCATAAATTCTGTAAAACTAAAATTCATGTTAAAAATACTTGGATTATAATCAATGATTTGTTCTTTCTGTATCATATTATAATAGTTAAAGTCAGATTCTTGGTTCATGCATCCCAGTTCTTGTTATATTAGTTATGCAGTTGGTTGGATTTTCTCTAAGTCCTAAACCTCATTATGTGACCTATTTAAAAACAGCATCTTTGAAGACAGCATAAAAGTAAGATGAGGTCAGCCTGGATTAGGGTGGGTTTTGCATCCAATGACTTTCATCCTAAGAAGAGAAAGATTTGGATACAGAGACACACAGACACTCAGAAAGATGGTGGTGAAGTCAGTGGCAGAGATTGAAGTGATATAGTTACAAGCTAGGGACTTTCAAGAATAACTAACATGTAGCTAAGAAACAGAGGGCTTGCCTAGCATGTACAAGGCCCAATTCAATCCCCGCACTGCAAAATAAACAAACAAATGAAAGGAAAGAAGGAAGGAAGGAATAGAAAGGAGGGAAGGAGGGAAGGAAGACTGAAAACCACTAAAAAGCTTGACAGGCATAGAATGGATTCTACCCCCAGAACCTCTAGAAGGAACAAACCCTGCTGACTTCTTCTTTTTTTAAAATTAGTTCTAATTAGTTATACATGACAGTAGAAAGCTCTTTGATTCATTGTACACAAGGGAAGAGAATTTTTCACTTCTCTGGTTGTACATTAAGTAGAGTCACATCATTCATCTTTTTTTTTTTAAGAGAGAGAAAGAGAATTTTTTAATATTTATTTTTCAGTTTTGTTTTCGGTGGACACAACATCTTTATTTTTATGTGGTGCTGAGGATCGAACCCAGTGCCCCGCACATGCCAGGCGAGCGCGTTACTGCTTGAGCCATATCCCCAGCCCCCTGACTTCTTGATTCTAGACTTCCAGCTTCCAGAACAGTGAGAGAATAAATTTCAATTGTTTCAAGAAACCAAGTTTATGATAGTGAATGGTAGCTCCAAGAAACCTATAGATTTCACTTACTATGAAGCTTGTCTTTATGAGAGAGAAAACATCTTTACCATCTTTATGTTTCTACTTTGTGCAAAATACCGTTAGGCATTGGTGATAGACACAGGGTCCAAGGAGCTCATAAACCCCTTGATGTGAAAGATGTATAAATACACATACTTGAACTCTACTAGAGAGGAAACATTCTTGTCCTTTAGAATCTCCAACCCCAAAAGAGACTATACACAATGTCAAAGATTATGGTTTACATCACCACTTTTTATTTTTCTTCCATGAGTCAAAATAGCCACTTCAACAAACTATAAGTTAACTGTAATCTTTTGAGACATTAAGTATATTACTGACATTAGAATGAAAATGGCCAAATTATATTGTTTTATTGTGTGCAAAGATGAATTTTAACAACAAAATTCCACTATTATGTATAATTTTAATGCATCAATAAAAGCAAAAGGTTTATTATTGACACTATACAAACTATAGTACAGAAAATATCCTTTTGTACTGATGACTGAAGGGAAAGATCATTGAGGTTTTAGTGTTTGTTAGGACCTTTAGAATGTTACTACAAGCTAAAAAGTGCACAGTAGTCAATACTTCTTAGGAATCATTTCATATCTGGAAAACAGGGCAAATAAAAGACAATTTTCATGGACCAGGTTGGATTTTGATGCCAAACAAATCTGTTGTTTTGCATTTGGGATGGGAATTCCAACTTGGAATATCACTGTAAATTTGTTCAGGTTATTATAACAAAAAACCATAAACTGGGTAGCTGCCGCAGTCTGGCTGGGCACAAATCACAAGCCACTGAAGCAGGAACAAACTTTATTTTTAAACTGCAGGAAAACACTTCACACAGCTCCCGGGGAATCCTCCCGAACGTGCCACGAGGCTTGTCCAGGAACCCCCAGCCGGAAATATCTCTCCCGGAAATTCCTCCTCCTGCACTTCCCCAACCAATGGGAACTCTCGGGGAATCCCCGGAAATCCCCATGAGAACTCCAAAATAGTGCGAGAACTCAAAAGTTGCGGCAGAGGCGGATAGTAATGCCTCGCCTGTCAATCAATACTGTTGGCAAAATGCCAGGGGCCATACAGACTCAGCAGTGGCTCTCAGCAGGTACCTTACTAACAGAGCTTTATTTCTCACAGTTCTGGAGGTGGGGAAGTGCAAGATCAAGGGCCCAGCAGATTCTGTGCCTGGTGAGGCCTATCCTCACGCTGCAGCCCTTCGTGGTGGACAAAGCAGCAGCTCCCTGGGATCTTTCATGAGGGCATTAACCCTACTCAGGAGGACTCTGTCCTTGTGCTCCAATCACCTCTTAAAGGCCTCCTCTCTTAACACCATCACAATGGCAATTAGGTTTCAATATATGAATTTTGGAACGGGGACATTAACATTCAGACCATAGCAGCCACCAGTTAGACATCATTTCATGAGGAACTGAAACTGTCAGAAAACAGCTTTTTCCTATGACATTTCTCAATGATGCTCAACCACTTCTGTTAAGGTCACCTCTACCTCACACCAGCCCTGGTTCCCTGGCTACATTCCTGGGGAGGTCATGAGGTACACTTATCTAAATGACTTTATCCTGTATCTCTTGGGAACAAAATTCCATTCCAACATTTTGCATTTCTTAGTATGTTCTCTTGTGTCTCTGGGTTGCATTTAGAGAAATGAAGCCAAGATCTCAGTGGTAAAGTTTATGTTCATGTTTTGGTGATGTACTTACATTTTGCTCTATAGGTGCCCACTGTTCTAAAATGCTTATATATATATTAATTGCAGGTGAACACAATACCTTTATTTTTATATGGTGCTGAGGATTGAACCTAGTGCCTCAGGCGTTCGAGGCAAGCGCTCTACCACTGAGCCACAACCCCAGCCCCCTGAAATGCTTTTGACCAAGATTCTGGTTGTACCAGAAAACTGACAGTGGGTATGCTGGGCACTGTCTACTTTCCTTTGTCCTAGATTCCCCGCTCAACTTTTCTAGATAATTCACATAATGCAGTAGAAAAATGATTCTTTTTTTCTACAGCTTTCACCCTCCTCCAGAGTACAGGAAGTAGGACTTTATAAAGCTTTAAGTAGCTTTCCTTCAAGGATGGTAAATAAAAGGGCATCAATAAACAAATAGGTAAAATGGGTGGAGTACTCATTTGAATTTTATTAGCATTTCAGAGAACTCCAAGGAGTGGTGTGATTAAGTGATTACTTTTCAGAAGTTGTTTCTAGGTGAAATAACTGAGTTATACATTGAGGAAGCATGAGATTAAAATTGAAATGGACTTGGCACTATGTTGATATTTTGTAAAATACTCTAATGCAGTTCCATGTATAATGCAGTTCCATGTACACCTGCACTTTGAAGTTAGGAAAATACATCAGCACAGGAAGCTATGTTTACAAGTTCAAGTACATAAGTAACTAAGGAAGTTGCTGGTCTGTTCAAGTTCACCTCTTTTTATTTCATGGGTCTGGTTTGTGGGAAAGGATACATATATTCTAAAGTTGTTTTTTCCAAATCTGGATGGTTAACAGAACCACAAAGAGGAGAATTGTCAGCTACAGATTGTCCCACATATCCTGATTCAATGGAAATGAATTGAGACGAATGTGTGTGTGTGTGTATAGCTTTCCAGTTGATTTTGGTAATCCACAGGTTTGAGGACGAGTTTGCTAAAAGATTTAGGCTACCTTTCCACTCTTAGGCATGATTTAAGTAAATCTCATCCATTTTCAGTGTGTGGATCAATGGATTAGGAGGGATTATGAGGATTAGAAGAGTTTCAAAGACTGATTCTAAGACATCCCTCCAGCAATAGCCGGCTGGCACACAGGCTCAGGGAGAAAGTACATGCCAGAAGAGGGATCACCCAGTGAGAAAGTGCTGTTGTCTCAAGCAGCTTCAGACTGCACTTCAACTTTTCTATAGCCTTAGAAACAACAATGTAGAGGTGGTTTGGTTTCTGTTCATCACACAAAACAGTATTCAGTCAGGGCTATGAGAAGATATTGTAACTGACAAGGTTAAAACAATCACTATGTAAGAGAACACTTTTGAAATCCACATTTCTTGGCTTACAAATACACACATCACACAAAGCATGAGGTCTTGAGACTCTGGTGTGAGTTTGAAAGGAGTAAAAGAGAATATCAGAAAAAAAGCAAACTAAAATGGCACAATCATTTTTAAAAGGACCAACCAGATGACTAGGTCTGTTCTGTGCCTCGCCAATTCATTTTCTCCTTCAACCCATGCTACCACTGTTGCTGTCTCTAGCAAGAAGAGAAAAGTTACTGTTTTTCTTCTAATGTTGTCTCAGAGAATCAAGGCAGATTTGGTATTCCTGGCTTGTGTAACACCTAGTTCCCTCTTAATATACTTAAGTGTCTCCACAAGATAACGTTTAGATCCTGGATCTTCTTGGAATCCTGGATCTCTTTGAAACCTCCAAAATTTGCATGTAATTTCGGAGATTTATGGACTCCAGGTGGAGAGCTTTCAGCATTGCAGAAAACCTAGTGTTGGTATTGCATTTCCATTTCACAAATCAGTTTCAGTTGATTGCAAAGAACTGTTTGCACTTCACAGATCGGAATCTGTATTCTTTTACATCTATGAATAAAGTCTTTTGTATAGGTTATTAGTTGAGTGAAAATAACTAACCTGCATCAAGCCCCTGGATTGTACTTAACACTACTAAATAAATGAATTTCATACATCATCATTTTAATCCATGAAGTCCATATAGATGGAGGCAATCATACTCAACATTAGCTAACTCTTCCAGAGTCATGCAGTGTTTGAGTCACAAACTTTAAAGCCAGTATCTGACCACCATCTACTTCATTACTTTCCTTGGAATGAAAAATGTGTTCTTCACTTCAGAACAGTTACAAGTGTTCTAAGGTGTGTCTTGTCACTGGGAGGAGAGGCTTCAAGTAACGTTCTGTATCTTATAACAATATCCAACATGAAATCTGACAACCTGTCCTCATAAAACTCAAAATTTCTCAGTACTACAGAGACCCTATGCCTACTAGAACAAAAAGTAGGCCCAAGTCTCCACCATGTTGTCTTAGGAGCCAAATTCTTCAACAAGACTCCTAAAGTGCAAGAAGTAAAACAAGAATCATTAAATGGGATAGAATCAAACTAAAAAGCTTCTTCACAGCAAAGGAAACAACTAATAAAGTGAAGAAAGAGCCTACAGAATGGGAGAAAATCTTACCACATGCACCTCAGAGTATTAATCTCCAGGATATGTAAAAAATTCAAAAAACTCAACACCCAAAACCCAAATAACCTAACCAATAAATGGGTAAAAGAACTGAACACACACTTCACAGAATAAATAGAAATGGTCAACAAATATATGAAAAAATGTTCATTATCTGTAGCAATTAGAGAAATGAAAATCAAAATTACACTGAGATTCCATTTCACTTCAGTTAGAACGGTAATTATCAAGAATACAAGTAACAATAAATATTGACGAGGATGTGGGGAAAAAGGTTTACTCATATATTGCTGTTGGGGCTGCAAATTGGTGCTACTATGGAAAGCAGTATGGAGATGCCTAAGAAAGTTTGGAATGGAACCACCATTTGACCCAGTTATCCCACTCCTCAGTTTATACCTAAAGGACTTAAAATCAGCATACTACAGTGACGCAGCCACAGCAGTGTTTATAGTAGCTCAATTCAAATGGCTAAACTATAGAACCACGCTAGATGCCCTTCAACAGATGAATAAAGAACATGTGGTATATTTCCAATGGAATATTACTCAGCCTTATAAAAGAATGAAATTATGGCATTTGCCACTAAATGGATGGAATTAGAGAATATTATGCTGAGTGAAATAAGCCAATCCCAAAGAATCAAAGGCTGAATGTTTTCTGATATGTAGATGGCAATTCACAATAAGGAGTAGGGGGAAAATAGATGTATTTTGGACTAATCAGAGGGAGTGAAGGGAGCATGGGGGTAGGAATGTTAGAATGAAGTGGGCATTATTACCATATATGCATATATGATTATGTGACCAGAGTAAATCTACATCATGTATAACAGATAAATGGGAAGTTTACTCCATTTATGTATGATGTACCAAATGCATCCCACTGTCATGTATAACTAATTAAAACAAATAAAAACAATTTTCTCAGTTCTAGAATGAACAAGATCAAGTTAGTAATTCAGAAGATTCTTGTCTGGTGTGCTAGCTCTTGATCTCTGTGAAAGCCCAAACCACACATAATTTCATTTATCCTGCTCACACATGGCACATTAAGGCCATAGGAAGTTGTTCAGAGAATCTGTTTGTTCCTCTAGGTTGGCTTCTGAGAATGAGAGCAGCAAACAAATTCTTGCATTCCTCACAGATCATCTCCCTTTGGCTTCCTGGAAGATGACACAACCACCCACAAATGCATATCATGAGAATCTCCTTGTAACAACTGTTTAATTTGGTTTCTACTAGCTGTCAAAAAACTAGCTCATTTTAAGATGTAATCATTGATATTTGGCTTTACAAATGTGTGCCACTGAACGAGTAACTTGTTTATTATTTGAAATCCTGTATTTTGTTCAAACTAACCTGGGGGTTTTATATAAAGGCTGCCCATCATTGGGCAGATTTGGTTAGCTGTGACAATTATCTAAGGTCCAGATGCCTGTCTTAGCTGGGCACAGTGGCACATGCCTATAATCCTAGTGGCTTGGGAGGCTGAGGCAGGAGGATCACAAGTTCAAAGTCAGCCTCAGCAACTTAGCAAGACTCCAAGAAACGTAGGGAGAACCTGTATCAAAAATAAATAAATAAATAAAAGTAAAAAAAATATCTGGGGATGTGGCTCAGTGGTTAAGTGTCCCTGGGTTCAATCTTGTTAACTCACCCCACTCCTCCCAAAAGAGATGTCTTAGCAACTAGGGCTTTGCTATGAAGAGAAGAGCCAATAGACACATATTTTTATTGAGCACTTGAGATGTGACTAGTCTTGAGATGTGTTCTAAGACATCCAAGATAGTACCGATGAAGGATGTAGAATATCTCAATGTTTTATACTAAATACATGTGATGCTACACTATTTTGGACATATTGGAGTAAACGAATTAATTTCACTCATTTTCTACTTTTTAAAATTTGACTATTATCCCTTTCTGCCTCTATGGCACTCATGAAAACTTGTGGCAAAATGAGGAAAAAAAAAAAAAAAAAGCAGCAGAGCTGGGCATGGTGGTGCACTCATGTAATTCCAGGGGCTGGGGAGACAGAAGGGTTGCAAGTTTGCTAAGCAACTTAGTGAGATCCTGTCTCTAAATACAAAATAGGGCTGGGGATGTGGCTCAGAGCCCCAGAGTTCAATCCCCAGTACCTCCCCACTAACCCAAAAAAGCAGATTCTGAAGTTCAACTTTTGACTGCACCCACCCAGTACAAGATGGAATCATAGACACTGCCATCTCGAGCAGTTTCTCTGAGAAAGAATCAAAGTGAACAGAAAAGCTGGGAATCTTGGTGGAAGGGTTATAACCATTGAAAGCGGCAAGAGCGAGATCATTATGACATCTGAGGTACTTTAAATAACTCACCAAAAGATTTGAGGAATAATCTATGTGACTGGAAGAGTGTAGTCACTAACAGCAGAGTTAACCAATTAAGTTACTTTCAGATTAACCTGGATGAGAAAAGGGAAGATGAGAATTTTTAAATTTTAAACTTTTATCCGGAATATTTTGTATGAATTTTTGAATAAACTTCGGAACCAAAACAAAAAATTAAAATTAAAAAAATAAAATGTGGGTGTTAGAAACTTTACAATTAGATACAGTCTTGCACTAAATTTCTATTGTGTAAGGCATTTAAAGCACCAGCTGTTAACAAAGCATCATCAGTAGTATTTGAATAAAATGTTTCTGTTTTTATAAATTATCAATTCTACAAGAAAAATGAAGACCCCCACAGATGAATGAATATAAGATGTAATGAAGCAGGCATGCTTTCTCATTACTTATGGGTGTGTAAACTAGAACTAGCAATTTAGCCATTTATATCAGGAATCTTGACATCCTCAAACAGTAGTCTCGCTTTCAATCACCAAAAAAGAAACCAGAATAAAAAAATTTGTGCATGAAGTTATTCACTAAGCAGTTTTTAATATTAATGACAACTCAGAAACAAATGTCAAGCTCTGCAGGGGGCTATTAAATAAATTATTAAATATTATATAGCCATTAAATTTTTTTTTTAACAGGGGAATTTTTTAAAACAATGTGGTTATGTGCCAAATGAAGACAGGATGCAAAATTGCTCAGAGTGCAATCACAGTTGTAAAATTGAAGACAATGGAAAAAATTATAAGTGCATGTTCATACTTTGGAGGATCTAAAAATAATTTTGTCTTTTCAACTCATATTTACAATTTCTGTAAGGAGAATGCATTAATTTCTACTTTTACAATTATATGACATTAAAATTGCTACTGTTTACAGCAAGAGAAATTCTAATGTTATCTGCTCATCACAGAATCTAGGTTTCTAACTTTAATAAAATAAAGTAAATCCATATGGACTTTTTTAAGTCAAGGGTGATAATTTTCCCACTTTCATTAACATT